CTTAGGTGCCTACTGTTCGCTTGACTCAATTATCTCTCTCTATCTCCGGCTTATATACTAAAAAAGAGGGCATCTAGGAAACGCTGGGACATTCGTGAGGTTGCCCGATAAGTCATGATCCTTCTAGAAACTCCAGCGTGCATGCTCCCAGCGTCACATGACTTCTGCTGACATAACAATAGAATTATAGAATGTTAGTTATTTTAGATTGTTAGTTAGAATTATGTGCATGTTAGTAAACTGTTAAATTGCATGCTGATATGAAGCTGGAGAACCCTGATTTAAGCACAATGGACTGTCTGCACTGTCCACTCACAAGTTTTTATAATTACTAACGTAGTCTTCTCCCATTGATGCTGTGGTCACTTGACTCACTTAAGGATTAAAAAAAAAGAAGACTACCTTACTGGGTCTTCTGAATGATGGGTCAAGTTAATTAAAGTTAAAAACTATATTAAAAATAAACAATTTAGTGTAAAAATAAATAAATAATTAGATGTTGATAAAAATCACAAAGTTAATTCTGATATGTATGCTTTAAATATAACTGATAATAATTAAAGTCCATTAAATATAACTGATAATAATTAAAGTTCAGTTGGTGTTCAAGTAAGTGATGATGTAAATAGCACCTTGACCACTACTACATAATGTATTCCAGCTGGCCTGATGAGCCCTGCTATTGGGCAAAAGACCTTGTCAGCACTTTATACAGCAGACATAGCGTGGTGAGCACTGTATACAGTAGACATAGTGTGGTGAGCACTGTATACAGTAGACATAGTGTGGTCAGCACTCTATATGGGAGACATAATATGGTCAGCACTCTAAAGGGCAGACATAGTGTGGTCAGCACTGTATATAACAGACAGTGTGATCAGCACTGTATACGACAGACAGTGTAGTCAGCACTGTATACGGCAGACATATTGTGGTCAGTACTATATATGGCAGACAGTGTGGTCAGCACCGTATACAGCAGACATAGTGTAGTCAGCACTCTATACGGGAGACTTAATATGGTCAGCACTCTATACGGCAGACAGTGTGGTAAGCACTGTATACAGTAGACATACTGTGGTCAGCACTGTATACGGCAGACATATTGTGGTCAGCACTATATATGGCAGACAGTTTGGTCAGCATCGTATACAGCAGACATAGTGTGGTCAGCACTCTATATGGCAGATATAGTGTGGTCAGCACTCTATACAGGAGACAGTGTGGTCAGTACTCTATATGGCAGACATAGTTAATTTCACTCATAATTTCTTCTAATTATTAACCTAAACAACATTACGGCTGTTACAAAGCTCTCTTAGCATACCACTTGTTTATAGAAAACTATCTTTAATGACAAACTGTTTCAATTTCCAGGCACAGAAATGTTGCATGCTGGGCCTTTTTCTAATAGGGATATGATAATCAGTGCATATTTTCTGAATTACAAACTGCTAATCTGAAGTTATTTTCATTAAACCTTAATATTAAATGCAAAATGATGAAAACCACATCTATATGCATATACAACTTACATTCTGTACACCTAAAGACTTCCAAGCACCAAAACAGAAAAGTCCAAACCCACATACAGCATATAAGGTACCCCAGCCCAAAGCACGAATAGCCAAACTTCCCCCACTCTCTGGGGCTTCCTTGCTTCCAATGAGGCCCTAGAAATAAGAATAAACTGTGGAACTAAGAATACAACCTTGTCAATAATATCCATCAGACACAAAAGTAAAAAACCAAATTGATAAGACAAAAAAATAAATGTAGATTCTTATTCTTAAGCTATCAGCTTTTGTCCTCTGATACAGCTTTACACAGAAAAAAATGTTAATCTTCTTGAAACACTTCTGATTCACATGTGTGATTAATTGCAACAGAAAGTTATGATAACAGGGAATTGGACTTAAATTTCAACAAGAAATTACACTACAAAAAACCTAAATAAACAATTACATAATTACGTACAAGTAAATGTATCAAAATCAAGTGATTTCTTTCAGACCTTTTTAAACTGTAACAAGAAATCGAGCAATTCAGTAAAATCTATGTAATTTAAAAACCTGAGATTTGTATTCACATATAACAAATGTACAGATTGGCATAATAAACAGATGAAAGATGTTAAGGTTTGTCAGCCAATTAGCTAGCTTCTAATGAGTGTACCTCAACATGTAGTTGGTGCAGCAGGAAAAAAACTAGCACTTTATTAATAGTTGTTGTTCTATTTTCAAAAGAAGGGAAATTCTACTAACAATATAAAGATAACTTGTAAAAGATGTCTAAATAACGATGCCTGCTATGGAAAATATACAAGCATGTCATGAAGAAAAGTGAAGTTTTACAAGCCCCATTAACTAATCAAGTCATTACAAGCCCAATTAACTAATCAAGCCATTACAACAACCCCAGTTAACTAATCAAGCCTTTAAAACAAGCCCCGTTAACTAATCAAGCCATTACAACAAGCCCTGTTAACTAACCAAGCCATTACAACAAGCCCTGTTAACTAACCAAGCCATTACAACAAGCCCTGTTAACTAACCAAGTCATTACAACAACCCCAATTAACTAATCAAGTCATTACAAGCCCAATTAACTAATCAAGCCATTACAACAACCCCAGTTAACTAATCAAGCCTTTAAAACAAGCCCCGTTAACTAATCAAGCCATTACAACAACCCCAATTAACTAATCAAGCCATTACAAGAAGCCCCGTTAATTAATCAAGCTATTACAAGAAGCCTCTTTAACTACTTACTTTTGTGAAAAAAGATGGGTCTTTTCTTTTAGCCATGGCCAGAGTCATCCCAAACCCAAACACTAGAGAGGCACCTGCTACTCCAGCCAGAAAAGCTCCACCTATAATTATTTGAAGATAACATAAAATGTAAGATAATAATAATAAAAACTTCACATTTCGATAATTAAAGTTTTTCAACCATGCCCGTAAAAGAATTAGAAAAATTAGACCAAAATTAACACTGTTTGCTATTTATGAGAGCAAATTCTACAGCCATTACATTCAGCTGTTCTGTGAATAAAAAAAATAATAATAATTAGTTTATTTTAAAAACAAGTTTATATGCCTTGTGCTTTTCTTCATTGTCGAATCAAAATATAATAAATGCGACAAATTTCAAAAGCATAAACTTTTTCACTAAATAATGACATGTCATATAAAACCATAAAATATCATTATTTTGTCTAGTAATCTGACAACATTACATTTGTTTTCCACCCTTCTCATAATTATGTATGCAGTTTGGTCTAGCTGTAAGTTTAGGAAATAAATTGTTCTTTTTATACTTCTGTATTATTTAAGACAACAAACATTTATATCATTACATGAAATATATCACATTGCATAAATAAATTTCAGAATGTAAAAATGATAAAGAGAGATTTAAACATTCCATGAACTGCAAGACTCGGCATGTCTAATCTTAGTTTGCTCATTTTGTTTCAGAAATTTGTGGAAACCTACACATAGCCATCCCTAATTTTTCAGTTACAGATAAGAGGGAAGGCAGCCAGCTAATCAACAGAACCTACCATCAACTTTGTGCTATTCTTGTCTGATCAAATAGTGTAGTGCATTTTTGTAGCTATGGGTTACAAACAATGAATCCTTATATATTCACAGTATAAGCATGCTGACCACTAGAACTAGCTCAGCCACTTAGGGCTATTTATTAGAAAAGGGATCTGCATCATGCATGGCATTTATTTTGTTGCCTTTACAAGAATAGCAGTGGGGGGTAAGATTGTAATGGTTGTTATACTTGGAAAAAATGTGAAGGGTTTTAAAATACCCCTGGTGATCACAGTTGTAAGATCTTCATTATAGTAGAAGTGTACAATTTAAAGAACATTTCACCGATACTATTTACAGCAGATCTAAACTTGATAAATACTATCAGTTACAGCTTCAACTGTTTAAAATTCCTTTCTGTTACTGTTCTACTGAAAAAAGAAACTAACTAAAAATTCTAAATAACAACACAATAACTTTTTAGATCTTTATTCACCAAGTTTAATGTTATCACTAACCTCCCCTTCACTTACTGTGTGTAATCCACAGACATGTTTTTTTGTGTGTTTTTTAATTTAAAATACATTCATTATCACTCTACACATCTTCTGTGGAAGATTGAATGGTTTTCTATTTTGATATTCCACAGTAAGATTTTACTAATATATTGAGTTGGGGTTCAGTATTTACAACAAACAAATTAGAAGAGTATGTGGTTTTTTTACTATTAAAAACAAAATTACTGTATTGAAATATATCAAGCTGAAAATACGCTGTTAGAAATATACACTCGTAATCAAGAACTAATGGTTTATTAGCCAATTTCCTATGCATTTTAAATATTTTTTATTTTATGATTATATACATAGTTACAATTTAACTATGTTTATTGTGTAAGTTATGTTGTTCAGCTGTCTTACTGAATATCAAGGTTACAATTCGGCAGTATCTTTACTCTAACTTAACAGTGTATTTATTGTGTCAGCTTTGATGTTGAGCTTTCTTATTATTACTACAATTACAATTTAATGGTATGTTTATCCTGCCTCTTCTGATGACAGTTTTTTTACCAACAGTCTTCTTAATAAGACCTGGCAGAATTGTTCATCTTGTATAATAGACCCTAGGACTAATATTATGCCAAACCACAGTTTTCAACAACTCATGGAATCACTTGAAAGATGGTGATAGAATAGAGTCAAACACACTCCAAATCCTTCGTTTTAATGAGAAAATTTTCTGAAGGAATGCTCTGGATCACCGATATTAGCATGCTATAATAATACTTTTGTTAGGTTTAGCAACTCTGAAAACGCATCTCAGTTCCTACAGTCTGAGCCGATTACTAACTTCACACACATAGCAACAATGGCACTTTAAAATGTGAAATTTATTAGAAACATATTATTTAAGTCTTCATTTTAATTGTCAGTTTTATAAGAGTATATTCTATGGAGGATTTGGTTATATACTTGTACATCATATTTATCAGATAGAATATAAATATCAGAAGTTTTATTTGTAAGAGTAAACATACACAGTAAAGTAACAAAAGTAGCAGTTAATATGATAAATATAATGTCCACTTATCAAGTTACTATTAAAAAGTCACTAGTTTATTACATTATACAGTTTTATATCTGTTGATGATAATTACAAACACTCAAAATATAATTTAGAATAAGAATCATCACCTGAAACATTGAATCATAAAGTGATATATTGTGATTATATTTAGTCATAATGTTGAGTACATGGGCCTTTACAAAACATTTTTATAACCACCATACTATACAGTCACTAATTAATCAACCAAGTGCAGAATCATAATCAGCTTTTAATAAATATCAGAAAAAGTATCTGTTTAATTATCATTTTCTAAATCATCTTTTGTTTTCAACAGAATGTCAGTGATAAAAAACATTTCTCCATTCTTCACAACAGTTTTTTTCTTAGATATACTAAACCATGAAAACATACAAGTAGAAGTTACATTAAGTTTATTGGAATGACCATAAGCTAATGGTCATGTAACCTCCTAAAAAAAACAAAAGAGAAACATAGTTAACTTACATTTAAGGCAGATTCAGGCGGCTGTGGTGTTCATTTGTTATTAAAACTGAAATTTGATTGTACAAAATCAAGAAATACCTCTAAGTATTGTTATGACAGTGGAAGTCACGTGACGCTGGTAACACGTCATGAGATTCTCGAAGGATCTTGACTTTTCCTGGCAACTCTAGTCTTTTTTAGGCACTCTCTTTTTTTTTTTGTATATAAGCCCGGCAAATAAAGCGGAGATATAATAGCAGATACATAGATATAGAGACAGATAACCGAGTCAATATAAAGTGTGTGTTTTGTTATTGAGATTGTAAACGTATTGACTGTGGAAATTCTGTGTATTACAAAGTTTGTAACGAGAAAGAATAAACTAGTTTTAATTAAAAAAGGACTTGTATCGCTGAAGTTTCTCGGAGAGAATTTTTAGAGGAAATTAACAAACGACCAGAGACGTAACAGTATTTAGTCTGAAGTTATACTGACTCTCACATTAAAATTATAAATCAAGACTTATCACTTTACCAGTATAACAATAATGACTAGATTGTAGGGGAGAGCAAGTGGCTTCTGGGATTAAGGGGGTCTCCCAACTAACAGAATAATAATACAAAAATTACCCAAAAAATGGATGTCTCATTTAAAAAACAAATGTTTGCAACTGTGTCTCTACGACAACAGTCATTTCATATATACTTATTATTTTGTAATTTTCTGCCAACATGTTCTTACATCTTGCAACAAAATCTAACAAAAAAAGTGTTTTCATTATTTTATACTTATTATAAACATTAGAGTTAGTACTTTATACATTATCTACCTATTGTTTGTTTGCTCAAACTATAGTGACTAAAGAATACTGAACTGAATTTATGGTCCCATGGTGGGACAACAGTAAGTTTATGGGCTAGCAATGCTAAAAATCTGGGGTTTGATTTTCTGCAAGAGATAAAGTGTAGATAAGCAATTGTATCACTAGAAAAACAACAGCAGCAATATATGTATACGAAGCTCAGAACTCAATTGTATCACTAGAAAAACAACAACAGCAATATATGTATGAAACTGAGAACTCAATTGTGTCACTAGAAAAACAACAACAGCAATATATGTATGAAACTGAGAACTCAATTGTATCACTAGAAAAACAACAACAGCAATATATGTATGAAACTCAGAACTCAATTGTGTCACTCTGCTCTAGAAAAACAGCAACATATGTACGAAGCTCAGAACTCAATTGTGTCAATCTGCTCTAGAAAAACAGCAACATATGTACGAAGCTCAGAACTCAATTGTGTCAATCTGCACTATGAAAACAACAGCAGAAACATATGTACGAAGCTCAGAACTCAATTGTCATTCTGCACTAGGATAACAACAACAGCAACATGTATATGAAGCTCAGTTCTAAGGTACCTCCCCCCATAACCCCCCCCCCCCTATCTCAAATTCTTAATACAGCCCTGATAGCAATATACAAAATAATAAAAAATCATGAAATAATTTGCCATAAGTGTGTCACGTAATTGGCCCTAATCTCCTACTTTACTTGGAAGAAAGATAGTTTGACTTCTGACATTGACTTATATCTGCATGAACATCTAATACCCAAGGCTTATCCTGCAGAAACATTTGGCCTCAAAGAAACAAGATAACAATGAGATTTCTTTATGGCTTTAACTCCCAGCCAGACTCAAGAATTTCAACTTAAGAAAGTTTAACAACAAAAATATATATACATGTAACATGATCACTTTTGTTTTACCTCGATGTTAATTATTCAATTTTAACATGAAAAGTGTTTGTATGGATGTCTATCCTAAGTTACTGTTATACAAACCGTATAAAATGAAGTCCTGATCATTTTAAATACATCTGCCATAAATATTGATTTTTTATTTAGTTATATCATAAAGATGTTTAGTATTTTGTATGGCAAGACTAGTTTTTCTTTAGGAATACAAGAAGAAAAATTTCAGTTTTTCTGTTATTAAGTTTACTCCCATAGGGTCGACAATTGTGTATTTCATTACTATATAACATAGGGTACTTACCTATAATTTTTTCTTTCTTCTTGTCACTCTCCATCTTTCCTGTTGACAAGCAATATATTTACACTTAACAATTTCTACCAATAGTAACCAGGTTTATATATTTCTTCCAATTAAACAAATCAATATCACACATTAAATCTACAGAAAGGTGTGTCATTTCCAAAGACAGTTAACTTTACATTTAATACTTCATATATAATTCTTCAAATTACAGGAACTTTAAATTATAAACAATTTTATCATATTTCTTATACTGTAGTAAGGATTCCTGTATAAACTTAGTTTGTGACATCAAGAAAAGTACAAAGTTTTTGCAATGCATTTTACTTTGATTATAAAAACATGAATATAATTATTACATGTGATCAGCCATCATCTATTTTCAGAACAAGTGCCACAAACTAAATTAAATGGTCTACATAAAATTACACTTTTATATTTTCTCTAGTCTCTTACACTTAAAGTCTATAGTGACACTGAATGAACGTAATTTTTGCACTAGACATGTCAATATTTTTATCTTTGTCCTGAGCCTGAGGTAATGTATTGTAACCTACTTTTATGTAAAAAAATAATAATTGATAGTAATAATCTTATTATTATTAGCATAGCAAAAAACTATTTCCATAAACTGATAAACTATATTAACAATGCAAGTGAATAACGTAACCTCATTTGTTACACTTATTAAGTTAGAAAATTAACTGAGATGGAGGACGTTATCCTTAACTCAGAGACAGAGATGGACTACGTTGTAAGACTTGGAGAGTAATTTACGTATCGATAATATTATCAGGTAATACATACGTACTCCGACTGTACGAATATTAGAAATAATACTAATACTGACGCACTAAGTAGGATGAAATCAAATGCATGGTGAGTTTTTTTTTCTAAAAGTTTTGCCTTTTCCCACGTGCTGGAAAGTAAATAAAATATAGCTCTAATTTATTCCTACGTCACAGTGTCAGCTATAATCTAACACTAAAAATGTATTTTTAAAAAATCGTGACATAGCTATGGCAAAACACACAAAATTTATTCCTTCTGATTCCAGGGTGAAAATATATAACAAGCCATCTTATAATGTTAACAAATAATATGTGAAATGATGTATATTTAATTAATTACAGCTAAGTTATTTTTGACAAATTTGTTAAAGTTGCAGGTTACAGTCTTGTAAAAAACTGCACAACTTAATAGTCGAATACTAAAAATGGCTTTTATAAAAGAATTAGTTTTACTACTGAACTGTTTCAAACAATAAGAATCAAGCGGAACACATTACGAGACCATCAAATCAATATTTCGCAAAGCCTTGTAAGAGTTGCAAAACAGGCTATGTTATCTATAGTCCTCCCGTAGGACAGAGATTGTTTGTTTGTTTTGAATTTCGCGCAAAGCTACTCGAGGGCTATCTGCGCTAGCCGTCCCTAATTTAGCAGTGTAAGACTAGAGGGAAGGCAGCTAGTCATCCCCACCCACCGCCAACTCTTGGGCTACTCTTTTACCAACGAATAGTGGGATTGACCGTCACATTATAACGCCCCCACGGCTGAAAGGGCGAGCATGTTTAGTGTGACGGGGATTCGAACCCGCGACCCTCAGATTGCGAGTCGAAGGACAGAGATAATTCTAAAGACTTACAAAGCTAACGGTCGGGGCTCAGTTTGTTATGTTACGATAGTGGGGGTCACGTGACGCGTATTCTAGAAGATTCGCTAGTGTGTTACGACAGCGGGGTCACGTGACGGATATTCTAGAAGTTTCGCTAGTGTGGTGCGACAGCGGGAGTCAATTGACGCTGGTAGCACGTGTTGAGAGTCTTAGAAGTTTCTAGAACAGGCAGTATTGTCGTATATAAGTGCGCTAGACAGTGAGAGAGACAGG